TCCCCCCCGGGCCCCCCCCCCCCCCCCAAGCTATAAACAATTGTCACAGCACTGTGGCAACGTTACAGAAAACCCGAGTCCACACACCCCAACTCTGCAGCTAGGCGTTTCAAGAGAAGCACCAGGGCCAAACCATGTCCCCATCCCTTGATGCTGCTAAAAAGGGTGAATTTCATTTTAGCCCCCCGCCTTACAGACTGGAACTAAGGGCAGAACTAACCGTCTGTCCAATCCGCTTCATTGTCACAGCACTGTGGCAACGTTACAGAAAACCCGAGTCCACACACCCCAACTCTGCAGCTAGGCGTTTCAAGAGAAGCACCAGGGCCAAACCATGTCCCCATCCCTTGATGCTGCTAAAAAGGGTGAATTTCATTTTAGCCCCCCGCCTTACAGACTGGAACTAAGGGCAGAACTAACCGTCTGTCCAATCCGCTTCTCACAGAGGCCCTGGCAAACCTGGAGCAGCTTTCACACACCCCCCTTTGACCCGCCTCCCCCACTTCCACCCAGCTCCCTGACATTCACTATTCAATCAGATCTGCTCCAAAGGGCAGTTTGAGTCCGACATGCTCACGGATGGGGTGCGCGCTGTTCATTTTTAGACAAATTGCTAGCTTCAGACCCTGTGCACAAGAGCGCAGAACTGCGGGATTTGCAACCTTCATTTAAAAAGAGGGGAGAGAGGGAGGAAATACTTCTAGCCTACGTTAAGAGGTCCCACATATCCTGTGATAAAAACAGCACATTTTTGTTTTGTTCCGCGTCCCTAAATGTATCCTCACAAAGTTTTTCCAGAGTCTATTGTCCTCTTGGCAGATGCACACAACTCCCATTAGCAGCAGGAAATAACAGTGCACCAAAAGGTGCCCGTCACTCAGAGATCGACGGGAAACTCCTTTCTCACAGGTCTCTTTGGCTATATCCCCATGCTATAGGTTCCCAAAGCACCTCTGCCGCTAAGTCATCTCACCGTTCTCTGCATTCCTCCCTACACAGGTCACTAGCCAAACAAGGGGCCACTTTAGCTAATCTACAGCTCTCTCTCACAGATGAATGCACATGCACTATCAAAATCGGCCTGTAAATCACAGGATCCTTGCCCGGCCAAGAAGCCCCGTCAGAGAGGAAGCAGCAAGAAGCAATTTGGCAAGACTAAACACGTCACGTTAATTATTTTTGTGGCGGTTTAAAATAATTATACCCATCTAACAAGTCTGCATGAACTGAAGGGGAGAAAGGAGATAAGCAAGGCATGTTCCACTGTGTACTTAAGTAACATGGATTGAATGTAGTCCGCTGGCAGTCCCTTGTTATTTCAAAGCGCATCGATACAATTCACATTGCTAGGAACAAAACACTACGGAGTCAAATCAGTTTGATGTCACCTTACATGGATCTGAAGTTCTTAGAACTACTTTTAGTCAGATCTAATCTCAGTACTAACTTCATTCCTTTAAGTTTCCCCAGACTTTCGACTCTGTAGCTTTAATCTTATCAAGGCAGCACATCACATTTCTGCAACCGCCCCTCCCGCTTTCCCTTGAGGCAAATGATACATTTGAGCAGACAGCAGTTGCAAGCAGTTCTTCCCTTTCCAGATGTAGAACGTGAAACACGGTGGTGCTCTGGATGCTAATAGGCTACAAGACAATTGGCTCTTCCCTCAGACATTCCAGCGCTGTATTAATTAGAAGTATGACCTTAAAGAATGCTGAACTGCACTAACAATCAGATCTGTATTAAATTAGCTGGGTTTTTCATGTTTCATCATACACAAAAGACGTACCGATCGGGCGGCTCAGAATGAATGTACAGTATTACTTTGATCTCTCCTTGTAAACAATTTTTTTTAAAAAAAAGTTGGACTTCCGTCAACTTCATGTCATAGACACTCCTGGCCAACAGCTCCACAGTGGCGTAACACCAGCAATTTGAACAGTGCGCTTTTAATTTATCAAAACCGAGCCTTTGTTTTCATGGGTCAGGGAAAGGAGACAGGGTATAGAACAGAATCACTCACCTGTTTGTGCATTTCAATATTCAAACCATACGACATTTCATAGTACTGGAGAGAGAAAAAAAGCCAGAAAAAAAAAGTTGTTATTGCTTTTGCATAAAACTATTATTAGAAAAGGCTCCTCTACAGAACTGTGCTTAGAGCATATTAGACAAGGACATTTTAATCGTAAGCAATAGCCACACACCTGCTTAGAGTTCAACAGACATTTAACAAGAGGAGACTTCTTCCCCCTCCCCCTTTATCTTCTCCCCCTATAAGCTAGTTACAAGAAGCAGAGACCAGGAGCTGAATGTGACCAGTATTTCTAATAGCAATGTTAATATTCTACCATTTGGCTAACTTCTCCTTTTAAATGAAAAAAGTTCTTTCTGCCCTGTGTCCTACAGGTCTTCTTCTGGAGTCAGGCAACCGGCCAGTAGCTCTTCCCACATGCCCAGGAGATGACTGCTGGTCACGCCGAATTGATTAGAAATACAAATCAAAAGAATCACCTCACCTATTGCCCCCATAACGCAGCCCCGAGTGAAAAGATTTCTGTAGCAACAAAAGAATCCACTTTCCTCAAAGCAACTAGGAGAGATGATGTTGTAACAGGCCTTCTCTGGCCTCCGGCAAAACAAGGAGCAGTCTGACCCCTGGCTCCTAACCTCAGAAGTTAGTCCAAACACTCCAGGGGTCAGCAAGTTGCAAAAAGTTTTAACTAGGCAACGATACAAACATGGACTCTGGTGAGAGATCCAGAGTCAGCAGAAATCCTGCCGCGAAATGCGTCAAAATCCTCTTTGGAAGGGTCAGAGGAGAGAGTTAACAGGAGACCAGTATTAGGTTTCTAATTTTTTTTTTTTTTAAGTCTGCTTGTCCTAAGGCACAAGACAGATATTTGGTAAATACACGGGAAGGACACAAGCTGATCAGTGCCTGTCAAAACAGGGCAAGGAAGCCAAGCTGCCAAAAGTACTGGTGCTGTCCTTAGGGGGTGGCTACAGCTAGCCAGCCCGATAACATGGAAAGGGCCAAGCAAGCTACAGAAGAGCAAAAACTTGGGCCGGATGCAGCCCCTCCACCCTGGCCCCATTATCAGCTAATGCCACTTGCAGTCTGATGCAAAAATCTGATTAAAGACTCTTACCATAACATAATGGCGCTGCATTTCGGTCTTTTCGTTCGCAAGCTTATCATACTCCACTTTGAGACTAAGAGGATAAAGCAGAATTAATATATGGTTAAGGCTCCGCAGTGATGAAGGGACAAGTCAATACGGTGGGGGGGAAATAGGGGGGGAGACCATATTGAGTCACACTTCTTAGAAGCAGGAGCAGTCGGGTTTCCTTGGTTGGTTTGTGTGAACAGCTTCTGAAATTGACACCTTAGGCCTCCCAATCACTAGCAGGCCAGCAGAAGCTGGAAAGCTGGGACATTTGAGCAGAGCATAAGGGGGGATTTATTTGGGGGGGGGGCGGGATTCTGATGGCAAAGCAGGAACCTCTCCGAGGAGAAAGGAGGCTGTTGGAATGGATGGGGAGGGGGAGGCTATAAGGGCCCCACAGAACAGGGATTTGGGGGGGAGGGGGGATACTACAGCTTTTCCCAGGAGGCAGAGGGTTAAAAACTGGGGCAGTTCCCAGATGACACACAGGGAGGAACAAAAGGAGGCTTGGGTGGCGATGGATGCTAGTCAACACACAGCCATAAATTGTTCTTCTAAAGACATTTTAATACACGCTCTAGTGTGCACTTAAAATCTGTCATTAAACATTTAACCTCTGATAAGCAGGGGAGGGGGGAGGGCGCCGAGAGCCCAGCGAAGCGGTTACCTGTGATACTGGGCTTGCAAGAACTGGAACTCGTCCTTAATCCGGTCGCAGGATTCAGCGACTGTGAATTTGAAGCCCGGCTGCCCAGGCTGGTGGGGAGCCTGGGGGGGCGCAGGGCCGCGCAGGGAAGGAAGCGAGACGTTTACAGAGGGGCAGGGGGGGGGCCG